CACGAGAAACGGGGGGGGGGGGGGGGGTTAAGAAGCACATATCGGAAAATAATAACATGGCATTATAGAAATGTACAAATACTCCTATAGTATTTTTTGTTTATATTTGGTTCTTAGCGTGTTCTTTGTAGAGTGTAGTTAAGTTATTAGATTTGTCGCCCATTACGACTATTCCCCAGTATGCGTAGGTTACTTCTCGGACGGATATAGTTGATTAGGCTATATCCTTCCCAGAACTGATTACACATGCTAAGGCGTACTAGTAATGTTCAACTCCTCCTCTTTCAATTTATGTTCTCCTTAGTTATGACACTACGCGAGTATATAATGCATGTAAGTATACTTTAAAACAAGAAACTATTTGTTTTCTAAAAGTACAACTCGTTAAAACGTTTTAAGAATCAGAGACTTTTAGTCCCAAATGTGTTTATAGTTTGTATATCTTATGTGGTTTGACATACTTAATTCACTATAAACCTGGCTCTGATACCAACACCCCCAAACCAAGGATGGCGGAAACGTCCGGGGGTGGAGGACTTCATGTATAGTATCATAACAATAATGGCAATAGTAATGAAAGTAAATGAAATCAACATATATATAATTGAAAGAGTTACATCATCGTATGAATTACATGTTTCAAAATCAATTACAATATGTTGACACAAAAATATGAAAGGTTTGACGCCTTAACGTCCCATCCTCAAAATCCACTTGATTTCCTGTTTAGCGATTTCCTGAGAATACAAGTTGTTTTAAAAAAACATCAACACAATGGTTGGTGAGTTCATAAGTTTTTGTAAACAATTATGAAAAAAGCTTGTCTCGAGATTATATAGTCGTTCCAGAAAAATCCGATATTTTCCTTAAAATGAATACTGTAGACTTGTATACAAAGACCGGAACGTATAAGTAATCTTCCTTATTTATAGAAAATAAAGTGAGTTTATTTCAACATAAAGGCGTACGATGTCAGTGAAATTTTCATAAATTCTTATGTTTGTTAATACTTTCTGTGAGTTATCATAACCATACTATGACCTAGGTGGCCTGAAAACGACGTTCTTCAGGCGTCGAAACTGTTATGACATTTGTCACCTCAGACCTGCCGGTCTAGCTGTTGCATGCAACTTAGGTGTGGGTTTGTCAAGCCCAATATAGATCTATATACAACTATCACGCTCTTCCTCCAGGAGATTCTGGTTACAATACAGGACTTATGATTTATATGAAGTAAATGTCTCACAAAGTCATTAACGAATTTACACTTGTCGTAATGAAAATTTCTCTTTTGTATAAATGTACCTTTCTGAAATGTATGTATTTTGAAATGTATCATAAACTATACCTATTATAGTTTATCAAAACAAGGGTAGTAATAACAAGCATGTATAGTACACTTAACGTAGTTTAATAAAATGTTTGTGTGTAATGGGTGTACTTCAATGATAACACTTTGTTTATTCTATGTTTTGTCTAGTAAAAATCCATTTGTTAACTGGTGTATATCTAGATACTAACACAAGAATGTCGTATATAGCAATAACACATAAAAACATAATATTATACACCTTGCTCAACATGTTACAAGGTGAAATGAAATTACTAGAGCTTCTCTGATTATAACATTTTCTGTAACTGTTATTAGAAAATTACTAGAAAAATCATAAAACATCCAAATCAGGTTCTGAAATTTCTGAGAGTTTGGAAAATGAGTCTAGTTTGTTCATAAAATTTTCCATAATTTTTAGTGATCTCTAACTTGTGTGAACAGGCCCATAATCACAGACTGGTCCGGATTAATGTTTGAAATGATAGACAGTTTTGTAAAAATCACCATAAATTGTAGAAAAATCGTATGGAGATGTGCAAGTAGTATTTTGAAAGCTAAAAACATTAACTACATGCACCTAAAACAGTTTTAACAACACAAATGTTTAGGTTGACCAAAACAGTCCGTGAATGGAGTCCAACTTTTCTGATGAAAACTGTTAGAAAATTTTAGTTATGTTGTTGGTGTTTTAACTTGTATTCTCCCCCTTAAAACTTAAGAAAACATGATAATAGAGGGGTATGAACTCACCTTGAGTGATTTCATAAGAGGATTGGTGAATAATGGAAGTCAACAACTAAAGAACACTTGAAGTTGCTTTGAAGATTTTTTAGAATCTAACATCAAAATGATGGAGCTTGTGTAAGCATTCAATGGTTAGAGTAGAATGAAGAGTAATAATCACAAGGAAGGTGTATTATACTTACCAAGAGAAGAAATAAGCTTGAAGATCAGCCTTGAAGTCTTGAGATAGAGAGAATAAGTTAGAGAGGAAAGTGGTGTTTGATTTTTGGTGAAATGAGATCCAATGAGAGAAGTGAGGAGAGAGGATGTTTTGTTCCAACTCTAAAAACGTGGGAATGGGTGGTAATTGAGTGTAAGGGACATTGAAGTGACCTAGGTAAGGTGGGGAGGTGTGGCTGGTTATAGAGTGGGTGTGGGGGTGGTTGCTTGCGTCATAAGATAAGGTAAAGTCAACACTCCACCTTAACTAAATCACCCATTAGATTTTCTTATTTAAATAATGATTTTTATGAAAAAAAAAATGATTAAATTATGATTACTTGGGGCTTATTTTGTTAAAATATGAGTTTGGGTGAAAATCTCGCATTAAAATCTCGAAAAACGGGCTTAAAATGTTAAAAATATCAAAATTGGGCGAAAAACATCAATTTTTCTGAAGTATGGCCGAGGTTTCGGTCTTCTGATGCCAAAACCGAGAGAAGAGAGGGGAAGAACCGAGAGAGGCAAGGAACCGAGAGGGGAGGGGCAGAGATCGAGAGGGAGGAGGAGCAGAGACTGAGAGACGAAGGAGGAGCAGAGACCGAGAGGCGAAGGAGGACCGAGGCTCGGTCTCGGCTACAGGAATTCGGTTCTCCAGTTTCGGCCACAGAGGCGCGGTTCTCATGTCTCGGCCAACAGAGGCTCGGTTTCTCATGTCTCGGCCAACAGAGTCTCAGTTTCGATCCTGGTTACTTTCGGTCCAAGGGGCTCGGCCCTAAGAGGCTTCGACTCCTTGAGAAGGGTTTCGGTTCCAGAGGTCCATTTTTCTCGTTTTTACCCCGTTTTAAGCCGTTTTTGATCCGGTTAAGGGTCGGGATGGCCCGAAAGACTATAAAAAGTCCAAGGAACTTTTGAGAGATATTTGAGAGAGATTTGGGAGAGATTTCACATACTTGGAGAGATTTGACATAGAGAGAGATGGAGTGAAAACGATTGAGAGAGGTTCCATGCGTGACAATTGTGAGTGTTTGGCTCCGCAACGCAAGGTTCTTGAGCCCCGTTAAGTCATGATTAAGGATCCTACACACTCCCGATGAGTATGCAACATGGTTTTATCAGTTTAGTTCATTGATTAGCACTAAGGCTCAGGAAATTTTAACATAAGAGCTTTTCCCAAGTGATGTTTTCCCATTAATATAGCAAGTTATGCAGTAATTACATAACGCAAACCCTAATACACAAGGTTTAATCGACTTGACTCTAGATTGATGATTGTCACATAGAAACCAGATCTATGAATGGCATGAGCTGGATCCAAGAAGAATCGCGTGTATAGTTTTTGCATGTGGCCGAATCGGCGAGTCGAGTCGCGAGTCCCCGAGTTTCCCCCTTTTTCGCATTGGCGGGTTGGGAGTAATGAGTCATTGGGTGTGACTCAGTGGGTCGGAAGCTAGACACACTCATGAAGTCACTCGGCGAGTCAATGCCATGACTCGGCGAGTTCATGGCAATCTTCTTGTCTCAAGAACAACTCGGCGAGTCACAGCTTAGAGTGTTCTTCGGATGAAGATGAACTCGGCGAGTAGGATGAAGGACCATTGGCCTTGGGTATAGAAGGAAAACTCGTCGAGTCAACGCTTAACTCGACGAGTAGAGACGGATATATGGTCAGACTAATGGAAAGGGACTCGGCCGCTAACCCATATCATACAAGTATCGTATCTGAAAGATCTGCACTTGGTGCCGATTTGAACAAATTTAAAAGGGTCTTCAGCCCCTCTTCCTTTTATAACCATATCACTGGAGATACTGGTTGCCTCTGCCTCCGATTCGAACAACGAAGAAGGAAAGAGTCTTAACGGTTCTTGATTGAGACCGGAGAAGAAAGAGATAATGATCGACGGTTCTTCATTTGGGGTGTCTTGATGCTCGTCGGAAGGGATGAAATTGCTGAGATGATGTTCCTCGACAGAAAGATGAATCCGATGAACTGATGGTGGATTTTAGTAACCTGGAAACGACAAATGAGGTAAAAGGAATGTAGAAGGAAAGGGGGAGGCTGGGTCAGGGTATTTAACTTTTTTTAATATAAAATAATTTATGATTTATGTAATAATAAAATTATAAGGGCAATATAGTCATTTTATAGTTGGAAAGGGATGCAACGTGCAAATTTAAATTAATGAGGGACGAAGCGTGCAAATTTTAAAATAATAAGGGACGGTCCGAGTTAATTTTTGAAAATAGGGACTAAACACGCTTTCTGGCATGTGCACGAGGGACGAATGGTGTAATTTACCCTTATTTTTAATTTAAAACTGATAAATAAACAAATAAAATGAAAAAAATAAATTATTAAGGGTAAAAAAGTCATTTCATGTCAATAGGGACTAAGCGTGTAAGGAAAAACGAATAGAGGAACGGTCGGAGTTAATTTTTGAAAATAAGGACTAAACACGCTTTCTGGCATGTGCACGAGGGACGAATGGTGTAATTTACCTTTTTTTTTATCATTCACCCTAAATTAAATTCTTATTCACTAGTGTATTCTACTGGGGTTGGTGGGCCTTTTTTAAAAAAAAGAGTCAGTTCTTTTTAATTGGCATAATTGTAAATCTCTATTTATTTAAGTGGAAATATAAAAAAAAAATACAGTGGCATATCAGCTCCCAAAAAATTTGTTGGGGTTAAAAGTAATTTTCTGACAAACATAAAGGTCTTTATACTAATTTTTCCAAGATTAATCTTCTGTCAATTATTATGTTGGCTAGCCACAATTACAGGCTTTATTAGCCGGCGCCACCAACAAAAGTGCAGCACTTTGTCCTAATAAGCCTTCTTGGTTCGCTTGACACAGAAATCGAATCCACCATGTCAGCCCAACCTCTCATCAAAGTTGTAGCTATCTGCGGATCACTTCGCAAAGCTTCTTCCAACCGTGGCCTCCTCCGATCTGGTACCACTCTTATGTCTTTTTTATTTATTTTTTATTCTTACGATCTCATGTTAGCTTCTCTTTTTATGAACTCGAAATCAGGTCTGACATAATCAAATTAATCGCAGCAATTGAGTTGAGTGAGTCAATAGATGGAATAACAATCGAGTATGTCGACGTCTCGCCTCTACCGATGCTGAACACGGATCTGGAAGTCGACGGCAAATATCCGCCCGTAATTGAGGAATTTCGTCAGAAAATTCTTCAGTCCGATTGCTTCCTCTTCGCTTCTCCTGAATACAATTACTCCATCACCGGTGATTTGATTTCTTCTTTCAACTCCATCTGTTCAAATCAAAGCAACTTCAAAAGTGTTGTTGATTTTAAACATATTGCATAAACTGAAATTCGTTTATCATCTCGATAATTTTTCTTACGAATGTTCATATCTGATTACTGTAGCACCTTTAAAGAACGCAATAGATTGGGCATCGAGGCCACCAAATGTGTGGGCCGATAAAGCTGCTGCGGTCGTAAGTGCTGGAGGAGGGTTTGGTGGAGGAAGGTCACAGTACCATCTTCGCCAAATTGGAGTTTTTCTTGATCTTCATTTCATAAACAAGCCTGAGTTCGTCTTGAATGCCTTCCAACCTCCTGCAAAGTTCGATAGCGATGGCAATCTAATTGACCCTCAATCTAAGGAAAGGTTAAAAGGTGTTCTTCTCAGTCTTAGAGATTTTACCTTGCGACTCCAAAAAGGTAAGTGATGATGAATTAGAATGCTATTGCTTTGCAAAAAAATCCAAGTATGTTGAAAATAAATTTAGATTAAGATTTGTGAAATGCTGCACTTCAAAGGTGATCGATACTTGCAGTTTTTTCAATCCACTACTCTCATTGTGATGTGAATTTGTGATTTATGCTCACATGTTGATTGGGACCTTCATCCATAATTTTTACTTATATTATCCAAATGTCGAATATTGTTTTCGGAAGATATATCGTTCTTGACATATCTCTTTAGACCTTAACTATCTTTAAATTGATGAATCAAATATCACACCGTCTCCATTGTGTAATGCGACTATGAGAGCATGAGTTGATTGTGAATGTTTATAATGTTATCTTTGTAAGTTTAAAGACTTTAAAGTAAATAATTTTGGAAAATTATGCATCTATAAATAAAGTTAGTGGTAAATTTTATGATATTATATTTCATGTTTGAATTTATTAGTAACCCATAAATTGGTAGGATATAGAAAGATGTGCACGGTTAATACTTAATATGTGATGGGATACAACAAGATACCCACCTAAGTAGTCGATGTCCTTGTCAATCAATAAGCTTTACAAAATGTATCTAGTCAATAAGGCATCCAGAATCAATAAGCTTAACAAAATATATCTAATCAATAACGCATTTACAAAATGTATCTAGTCAATATGGCATCCAGAATCAATAACGCATCCAGATCACTACAATGCTACTAATTTTCCAATTGATTCATCTGTTTTGCAATAACTATTCACATCAGTGCAATAACATTATCTTTTAAAAGTGGTCCTGCCACATTAACAATTATTATATATATATATATATATATATATATATATATATATATATATATATATATATATATATAAAAGTTCAGGTTCATTTGGGACCATTCTAATTTTGTAAGACCGTGAAACCAAATCTAAAAATAATTTTAAAATCCAAAATAAATGGAAAAATCCAAAAAAAATATATATATATATATTATTTTCGGAACTTGAATTAACTAAAAAAAATAAAAAAAATCCCGTTTTTTTTTTGAAAAATACGTGAAATATTCTAAATAGAATATTACACTAACATATTCTAAAAAATAATTTTAAAATACAAAATAAATAGAAAAATCTAAAAATTCTTTTTTTAAATATTATTTTCGTAACTTGAATTAACTAAAAAAAATAAAAAAAATCTTTTTTTTTTTGGAAAAATACGTGAAATATTCTAAATAGGATATTACACTGTATATATTCTAAAAATAATTTTAAAATGCAAAATAAATGGAAAAATCAAAAAAATTCTTTTTTTTTTAAATATTATTTTCGGAACTTGAATTAACTAAAAAATTAAAAAAATTAAAAAAAATAAAAAAATTAAAAAATGCATCTCACGGTCTCATAAAATTATGTCGTCTTACATGAACCTAACCCTATATATATATATATATATATATATATATATATATATATATATATATATATATATATATATATATATATATATATATATATATATATATATATATATATATATATATACACTTAATAATAAATAAACAAGATGAAATATTAAATAAACAATAACTTTATATATAATAATAATAATAATAAATAAACATAAATTTTATTATTATAAATAAAATAATATTTTTAAAATAAAATAACAAAATAATTATAAATAATAAATTTATTTTACTTTATTAATTATTTAAATATTAAGACGTTACAAAAAACATGAATTATAAAACAAATATTACAATATTATTCCAGATTTTCTTTGTTCAAATCGGTTCCAAATCTCTTCAATCAAATCCACTTGTATTTTTTGATTTATGGATCTGTTACGAATTTTTGCATGACTCCGAAGATACATTTCATATGAAGGTAGACGATTTTGGAAAATTTCAGGCCTAACTATATTAAAATTAACATCATTATCTGTATAATCGAATTGAAGACTATACGAATCATGGCTTAACATAGGCAAAGATGCAACAATTAGTACCGATCAACGTGGATCAGACTTCTGGCGTCGTCTAACCAAATATTACGATATGTATCGTAATAAAAGTACCCAGGGGGAGACGAAGAGTCAGGCACTTCAGAATCGTTGGAGCAGACTGAATCATGTTGTTTCTAAGTTTGTTGGAGGTTATGAACAAATCCAACATAGGCGTGAATGTAGCTTAAATGAAGAAGACAAAAAAAGAAAAAAAAAATAGTGCTCTAACATTATATATTTCATCAGAGGTTTCGAATTCACTTTTTTGCATGCTTGGATGACATTACGTGATGAGCAGAAATGGTGTACCAGTATACAAGAAAGACAAGGAGATGCCAACGAAACGGGATCTATTGGGCCAAAGAGGACTAACAATAGTATATCCGGCGAATACACGTCATCATCCTCAAATACAAACATATCAGTTAATGAGCCAATATCAAATCCTCGTTCAGTGGGAAGAAAAGCTTCTAAAGGTAAAGGGAAACAAACACCAATGTCAAGCACCTCTCTTGAAAGTATACAAGAAGTGATGCAAACCCAAATTAATATTGAGATGGAAAAAATGAACATAATGAAAGAATACTGTAACATCCCAAAAATGCGAGCTAAAAATTTCGTTTTTAAAACATGTACTTAGCAAAACATTTAGGAATAGGGTAAATTACACCATTCGTCCCTCGTGCACATGCCAGAAAGCGTGTTTAGTCCCTATTTTCAAAAATTAACTCGGACCGTCCCTTATTATTTTAAAATTTGCACGCTTCGTCCCTCATTAATTTAAATTTGCACGTTGCATCCCTTTCCAACTATAAAATGACTATATTGCCCTTATAATTTTATTATTACATAAATCATAAATTATTTTATATTAAAAAAAGTTAAATACCCTGACCCAGCCTCCCCGTTTCCTTTCCCCCTTTCCTTCTACATTCCTTTTACCTCATTTGTCGTTTCCAGGTTACTAAAATCCACCATCAGTTCATCGGATTCATCTTTCTGTCGAGGAACATCACCTCAACAATTTCATCCCTTCCGACGAGCATCAAGACACCCCAAATGAAGAACCGTCGATCGTTATCTCTTTCTTCTCCGGTCTCAATCAAGAACCGTTAAGACTCTTTCCTTCTTCGTTGTTCGAATCGGAGGCAGAGGCAACCAGTATCTCCAGTGATATGGTTATAGAAGGAAGAGGGGCTGAAGACCCTTTTAAATTTGTTCAAATCGGCACCAAGTGCAGATCTTTCAGATACGATACAATCTGAACGTAGTTTCTTTCTTTCTTTTTTGTTTGTTTTTTCAATTCCTAGGCTTCAAACTCATAAAGATGCAGGGGATGGTTATCTATTTTTTTTTTCTCTCATCATTGATTTCAATTTTGGAATTTATGTTGTGGATCTCAGCACCAATTTTGATATGTATGCGTTTAGTGGAGCTCTAGGGCTAGAACTCATGTGAAGCTACAGACCACCATATTAACGAAGCTCTAGGTTCAAATCTGATAGGCTTTTCAAATAAAATGTAAGATAGATTAATGGATTGTGGTCTAGAGGTGATTGTTGGTGTTGGAATATGTATACGGTGGTATTGTGGGAATAGGTAAGAGGTGTTGGTGACAAAATAAGAGACGAAAACAGAGGGTGAAAAGAAGGAGAGTATGTGAGGTGGTAGGACCTACTGAGATGGTGGGGTGATAGGTGGTGATGCAGAGGTGCTGGCGGTGATAAGCGTTGCTGCTGGAGGTGCTGGCAGTAGGTGGTGATGTTGAAGGTGCCAGCGGTTATATGTGGTGGTTTATGGAAAATCTTAGAGAAGGGGAAATTAAAATAGATGGGTAAGGATATATATTTTTTTTATTTTTAATTTAAAACTGATAAATAAACAAATAAAATGAAAAAAATAAATTATTAAGGGTAAAAAAAGTCATTTCATGTCAATAGGGACTAAGCGTGTAAGGAAAAACGAATAGAGGGACGTCGGAGTTAATTTTTGAAAATAGGGACTAAACACGCTTTCTGGCATGTGCACGAGG